TATTTCATGAGTGAAATAAATGTTACTCTATATCAATTTACCTTTGTCTTCTAGTAACAGCAGTGCATTTAATTGCCACAAGAAGTAGCAACTCCTGATTGTATTTTTATTTTAAATGTAGATGGACTTGTAGGTCTTCCCAAGGGTTATGTTTGCTGTATCAGCACCCTTTAAAAACTCTACTTCAGGAGTTTGATGGTATCTTGCAGAAATTGCATATATCTTACACATGCCTAGAACTTCCTTGTTATTAATTTGAGAAGGTTCAAAGACTAGATTAGATTATTACGGACCATTAGAAGATTAACATATTTCCAAAAGCAGCAGTTTCTCTCCCAGAAACAAGTCTGCCCGGGACATCTCTGTCCCTGCTCCCAGTGTCCCCCCAGGGCTAATAGGGCTGTTTCTCGCTCGCTTCCCCTCACTCAGCCCTGGCTGCCGGGCAGTGTTTTGCCCTGCCTTGCCCAGGCTTTCCCCGGGGCTGAGGGGCTCAGCCGTGCCCTGCGCTTGGGGCCGCTGCAGCCACTGCACCGCCTGGGGCCAGCCTGGCAGCCCCAGCACAGCCCCAGTGCCAGCACCTGAGCATTGGCATTTGGTACAGAATCAAATACTGAACACCACTTGCTTTGAAAATCCATGTAAACTGGTTCAGTCGCCTTCTATCACAGCTGCGAAAACACCTCCAGCCCAGATTTTCCCTGTTGAGACCCCTCTTTGGTGTCCTAGGTCTAGTTTTACCGTACAAGTACAAAAGTTTCCATGGGTACATCATAAAAGCTGGAAAGGGGCTGTAGGTGATCAAAATGTTACCTGGTATAACTTCTGTCATTGATATCCAATCATAGATTGGACCAATTAAATTTCTTTATGAAAATCTGTAGTTTCATTTTCACTTTGAAAGACAGATGTAGCTATAATTTCAGTCTTTAAATTTTCTTTATCATCCAATACCCAGCTGTGCCTGACACATTTCTACAATATTTTTTTCCCTGAAGGAAGCAATGAGCTATTCAGTGAAATTTTTTGATTTCACAGCAAGGTAGAATAATCTCTGTAGGATTTTTTTTTTTTTTGTTTAATGGGGAAAACCTCCCCAATGGTATGTTTTGTACAAGAGATGCATTTACTGAACACTTTTGTAATTAACAATATTTATAAGGCTGTGAGAATTACTAACACTCCATGGGGTGCTTATTTTCCAAGTTCTTTAGCTTTTTTTTAGCATATTCCAACAGACAAGTTAGCTAGTGTGACTGGATCCACCTGAAAGTTTTTGTATGAAACAAAGCTGATATCCAAGTGTAATGTGGGCATAACTACTTCCTCTTTTTATTTCTTTTGCATGATAAAAAGGAGTAAAACCAGAAGTGCTATTAATATGTATGGGAATAATGAAGCTTCAAGGAGGAAAACTCTATCATCTAAACACAAGTAAATGTGATTTTCTTACCAAGTGATTAAT